GCTCAGGTGGTTTGTCGACAGCTGGGCTGTGGCAGGGCTGTGGAGGCACCACAAAGGGCACGTTTTGGACAAGGCACTGGACAAATCTGGTTAGATAACCTTCAGTGTTCAGGCAGTGAGTCCTCTTTACAAGACTGTCCACATGGCGGATTAGGGAACCACAACTGTGCTCACTCTGAGGATGCTAGTGTCATCTGTGAAGGTAAGTGTGTTCCCACACAGTAAGCAGATTTCAGTTGATACTGTTCACTTATAACTAGAAATAGCACCTAATATCCTGGCACCAACTGGATACCGTACAGTTGACTTTTTTTTCTTTGTTTTTTTACAACAAAAAGTCACAATATCATACAAGCCCAATGATTAAGTAATCAAGTATAATTACCTTGAAGAAATTGGACTTTTGCTCAATACTGGTGTGAATACAACCTGCAGTTGTCATGTGGTTGACAGAGATTTTGCTTCTCCTTCAACCAGAAATTGCTACTCCAACACCAAGTGTTCCAGTGAGACTGGTCAACTCTGACAACTGCTGCTCTGGCAGAGTGGAGATCTTCCACAATGGCCAGTGGGGAACGGTGTGTGACGACTTCTGGAATCTGAATGACGCTCAGGTGGTTTGTCGACAGCTGGGCTGTGGCAGGGCTGTGGAGGCACCACAAAGGGCACGTTTTGGACAAGGCACTGGACAAATTTGGCTAGATGACCTTGGGTGTTCAGGCAGTGAGTCTTCATTAAGAGACTGTCCCCATCGCGGATTAGGGAACCATAACTGTGGTCACTCTGAGGATGCTAGTGTCATCTGTGAAGGTAAGTGTGTTCCCACACAGTAAGCAGACTTCAGTTGGTACTGTTCACTTATAACTAGAAATGGCACCTTGTATCTTGGCACCAACTGGATACCATATAGTTGCCTTTTTTGTATAACAAAAGTCACAAAAAGTCATAGCAAAACAAACCCAATGAAGAAAGTGAACTTTACCTCGACACTGGTGTGAATACAACCTGCAGCTGTCATGTGGTTTAACAAAGATTTTGCTTCTCCCTCAACCAGGAATTGCTATGACAACCATACCTACTCTACCTCCACAAGGTCCTCCAGTGTGACCAATTTCACTGGAGGACTTGGTGATGTTGGGGTAGGTGGAGTTGTTCTGGTAATTTCTGGTTGAAGTGAAAGCAAAATCTCTATCAATCATGTCAGCTGCAGATTGCAAATTATATAATACAGAACCTACGGAGCAGAAGTCAAATTTCTTCAAGGTAACTGTACTTGGTCAAAAAAAAAAACAGTATGGTATCCAGTTAGTGTCAGTATATAACACTGAAGGTCACCTAACCAGTCACCTGTGAGTACAAAATACAATTTGATATCTGAGCTGATGTCTCAACACTGTGAACAGTATGGAAGTTATAAACATGTTTTCTTCTCCTTTCATTCTGATCTTTAGGGATGGACTGACATCATAATGGAGTGAGTTGATAAACACTGACAAGTGATTATTTTGATTTTTGTTTTTCCTTGAATGATTTACTAATTCACTTTAATCATTCTTTAGTATAATCTTTCATATTTTACCTTTGCACTTTTGTGTAATATAATCATAGCAATGAATATTTGAGTATTAATACAAATGATCAAATGCAAATAAGTGGGTACATACAATTGTGATTGTTCTAAATAAATCTTTTTTGTTTTATATTCAGTCAGTGACATGGAAAAAATAAAGTCTCACTAAATAATAAAAATGTAAAATATATATATATCAGGACATTTGTGTCAAACAATTTATGAGACCGTGAAAGCATTCCTGATTACTTTTTTGTTGCCCTTTTTAGCCCTCATGCCATCCAAAATTCCTTTTTTCTAACATAACATTGTCTTTGGGTGTATATTAATAGATGTACTGCATGCTTTGATAAGACATGGATCAGGTTAACTGGAGAAGAATACAGATATGTAACCTTGTTGATTTAAACATTCATGTAGCCTCACAATAGAGATGTGTTTGGTGATTTTTATCCAACATGTTGACATTTTGTGCTTGTTTTATGAGCCATGTCAAAGTCTAAAATTCTAATTGTCATTGCCTTGTGAAGGACAATAAAGGTTTTTTTCTGATTTACACAAAAAGGTGTTTTGTCTTAGTGTTTTGTCTGAGTGTTAACTTGTATTTAAAGCTTTATTATTTGTTTGTTTGGCCACTTATAAGCAGGAGAACTTTAAAAGAGCATATTTGCATACTTACTGACACATATCAGACACGAAGAAACATTTTTAAATGACTCCCTCACATCAAAAATGTGTTTTTCTTCTTGTATATAGAAATATATTCTGAAAACAAGTTCATTACGTTGGGATAGGAAAAAGAAGACAGAAATGTTGAGGTCATCATTCCAGGTAACTTTTTACTTCATTGCAGACAAATGTAATATGATAACAGTAAGACATTACTTTGTTACTCAGTTGATTTGTAACATGTTAGCCCCAACACACATCAGTGCTTGCTGAAGTCAGTGCATAAAATGCACTGACTTCAGCAATACTGAATCTCACTCCAAACTAAACTGTAAAGTTGGAAGCCCAGGTAATGTTAGTGTAAGTGACATGGGTGTGTGGGAAGTATAACAGTCCAACATGCTCTGAGTTTACCTCATAACTTTAGTGAAGTCTGAACACAGGTCAGTCAGCCATTTCATCTGCTTGATCCCCTGCAAGCTCTACTCTCTCTCCCACTATTTTTTCCCCCAACCACAAGAACTCCCAGCTGCCTGAACAGCGCAGACTAGTGGAGATACCTGATACCAGAACATCTTAACATCACTGTAAACACTAAATATGTGTAAACATAAATTCAGTGGTGTACTAAACCTAAGTTTGTACTATTGTGTTTACATCACACAATTTCACTCTTACAATAGCATGAAATAACTAATGACTAAGGACTAATTAGCTTCACTGCAATATATGAACAATGCTTCTTGTCATGACTTGACAAGTGAGGACAGTGATTTTTTGCCTCAGTGTTTCAAACCAATATTATGCATGTAGCCAACAAATGCATAGTATGGACACATCAGACAAATGATCCTCATTTTAAAAAGAGTCAGCAGGAAACATTCAAAAGTCAGCCAGGGCCAGGATTAAACCAATGCACAGATCTAGCTTTATGTTAGCTTCATTAGCTAGCTAGGGTTGATAAAATCTGCCAGCAACAGTTGCAGTGGCGGCTCCTGCCAGATTTCTCAGGGGGGGCAATTGTTGTGATGATGGCTGAGGTGATCCGTTCAATGGGTAAATTTGAATTAATTTGGCTCTGCAATGACTGAACAATCCACTGTGGTCATCAACAGACTAATTTTCATCAGTTTGCCCACACAAATACCTCTGAATGTAAACAGAGACCTGTTTTACCATTAATCAAATAAAATTGAGTAAGGTATTCACTGAGTCATTGTCAGTCTTAATCAGAAAACATTTTATTATAGCTAAGTGGAAATTCATTTTGTGTTCTGATTAAAGAAATAAATGCAGGCATTCCCTACAACTTAATACAATGCACATCACATAGTATCACTGCTCTTTGACCTGACCTGAACGTTTTTTGTTGTTGTTCAGTTTCAGTTATATATTGGGGGGCATTTTGGGCATTGGGGGGGGAATGTGTCCCCCTCAATGTATATGATGACTATGGCCCTGTCAGCATGCATAATTTGGCTGCAGTTGTCTGGGTGCGCAAAGGTGAAGTGGCTGGTCTTGTCACACAAAGTTTGATGAGTGTCAACTGGACAATATGGAGATATTTGCATCTTGAAAGCCGGACTACAAATGTGGATAGACAGGGAGAAACGCACGGGTTGTAAAGAAATTCGTTTTTATTTTGTAGACAATTGATCTGTATGTATAGCGTGATGGGATGACAGCACAATGATGTGTGTGATATCACATGAAAGCTCTGCTCCTGCGCTTTCATGTGATATGCGTGGCATTTCTGTGCAACCCTGCGTTCACGAGTAATCCGTCCAAGAGTAATGTGTGTGCAAAGCTGTATGAAAGCTCTGTTGTAACTGTTACATCATTTAAGTGTAACTTTATCATTTTTTTTCGCTGTGAAAACATTGGACTACCGACAAACTCTTAAGCAGCTGCCCCGAAATTGACATGAAACTTGGAGTTTAGTTAGTCAGAAAAGAACAGGCGTTGAAGTAAGTGTTTGAAAGTATAACAAAGTATAACATTGGAGATTAATACGGTTCTATGAACCAACATGCCGACCGGAAAGCCTGAAGCTAAGCTAACTGCAGCCTTGGAAAATGCCAAGATGGCGGATCACGACTATTCACAGATGGATATAACAACCACTGGAGGTGTAAAGAGAAAATCCTCGCCTGTCACTCCAACGAAAAGCACTCCGCCGCCACCTTCAAAGGTAAAAAGCCCTCAAGAGCCACCTGTTGTCCCAAATGAGGCACTCGTACAGGCTATTGAAAAGCTAACTGCTAAAATAGACAACTTTGGCGCTCAGCTAAGAGAAAACTCCGTCATGATGGCTAACATTTCCAAGCTCGTGGAGATGAATGCAGCTGAGATTAAAGATTGCAAAGCTAAAATGCAATCAATGGAAAAGGAAATGACCCGGCTCGTTAAAGAAAATGAGGAACTGACAGAAAAAGTGACTGAGTTGGAGCGATACAAGAGGCGCTGGAACCTCAAAATTCATGGCCTGAAAGAAAAAGATGACGAACACATTCGAGACATCGTCAATGGTATTCTTTCAAAGATTGAGCCGCAGTGGGCTACGTCAATGGAAACCGTAGTTGACACCGTTCACCGCCTTGGGAGACGAGAGGAAGGAAAAAGCCGTCCAGTCATCGTGCAGTTCACCATGAGATATCACCGGGATGCCTTCTCGAAGCTGTCCAAGAACTCTAAGATCTGTAAAGACTTGGGGATTCACTTCAAGCAAGATTTCTGCAAAGCTGACCGTGAGGCTCATGCTGCTGCATGGCCGAAGATGGAGCAAGCCAGAGCTGCTGGGAAGACTGTGTACTATAGAGGACATGTGGGGTACATCAACGGATTTAGGGTGGCACTAGATTAGTTTATCTACACATTACAACATGTGCCTTACACTCTCAGTTATATAAGAGTCCCTTGAAAGGCTCTATGTTTAAAATGTTTCCAGATTACTCAGGTTTTCTACTTTGATATGTTATAAGCTAAGTATTTTTATTACATGCTGCTGTTGAAAGTAGTTCTGAAATGTTCAGATGCACTTTATGTGGACCACAGTTTAAAGGTCGTGCACGAGGTTAATAATATAACTTGAAAGATGCACTATTTTTCCAAAATTATATTCTACCACTTATCTCACTTATTAGTGCTGTTTACATTCATAAGCTCATTAAACCACTTACTACAGAAGGACAAGAAGATCTGTTCTCCTACTATTACTAAGTTCAATAGTGTTGGATTGGGGAAGTACAATAGTGCTTATTTCCAAAACAAATGTCCATACTTTCTTACTGAATTTACATCTCCTTCTTTTATGTCTTTTTTCAGTTCTACATTCTCTTTTGTTTAACTTAATGCTAGGGGTCTTAGAGATTCTATAAAAAGAAAATCAACCTTCCTTTTTTGCAAAAATGAAAAAGTGCAATGTTATCTCCTACAAGAGACACACTCAAATGACATGGATGAAAAATTTTGGTCAAATCAATGGGGTGACAAAATTCTTTTTAGTCATGGCACAAATAGATCAGCAGGTGTCGCCATACTATTAAACAACTTCCCTGGGAAAGTTTTGACCACAAATGGAGATTCATTAG